AGAAACAAAAAATTAAATACCAATCAAAACAAACAAATAAATAAAAATATGAGAAATTATATCCATCTACATCTTGTGTGGTAAACTAGTATTTTCTTGCGAGGTAAGAAGGAACCAGGTTAACTGGAATATACCAGTTTGATATAACTGGTTTTTATATGATTTGTACCAAATATATATAATACTATAGTAATATGAGATGATCAAATAATCCATTAAAAGTATATAGTTTTTTATAATGTTAAGGGAGGAATGAAAGTGATGATACAAAAATTTAATGTTGGAAAGGATGATACTTATTTCTTAAACATTACAAAATAATCTTAATTAGGCATGTTATAATTTATTGTATGACAATTTAGTTTGTGTAATTTGATGATTTTGATCATTTTTGTCTGACAGACCAGATAGTTGCCCTAAAGAGAGGAATGAAACTGTCAAAAATTTAACATTTAGATTTATTTATATATAATTAATATAAGGACAATACATAACAGGGGCATCAAAATAACAATAAATAACTTTAATGTTAACTTAAAACCTTGAACCACTATATCAAAGGTACAATATATTTAATAATATTAATTTAGTATTTATATTATTCACTTTATTTTTTATTCATGCAATACCTAATTCATTTTTGGGTTAATTTTTTCAAGACATTTTCCTTATTTCATAACTGTAACTTGTTACATATCTTGATTTAATAAGCTGTTCGGGCATCAGTGGCTGCAACAGTTTAAAGGTGACACGGTGGCCATCACTGTAAGGTAAAGGTCACAGGTTCGAATCTAGCAGCCCTACTTTCAAAGGGCTTTTTTTCAAACACCAGCACCCTGAGGGTTCATATAACCTTATTACTGTAGAAAAATATAAAACCTTATGAAAATAATAATAATAATAATAATAATGAGCTGTTAAGGATGGAAGCTAGATTTTTGACATTACAGAGCATATGGTATTATCTGTCGAAGAGATTCACATCAGAAAATAATTTGCAAATGCTATTGAATCATATTTTGAACGTTTTTAGGGACAAGGAATTTAATCTCTTTTAGCCCTTGGTCAAAATTTGATTTAAATTTAAATCTTTTTTTATTTGTTTTAAAGTTTCTATTTTCAAATGGATACAGTTTGTTTTAAATATATTTATTGAACTTTATGTTTTATATTGAATTTTGGCTAAAGACAAGGAACTTAGGCAACATTGACAGCACTTCTCCACTTATATACATTTACCCTAAGGACATCTGATTTTGTGGAACATTATAATCCATATCAAGATTTCTCTCTTTTATCCAATTTGGTTTTATAAAACATTCTAATATTGTCACATAAGTAGTATGCATGGAGTCATACAATTTAAGTGACTGAAATAAATTTCATGGAGCAAGTTTCAACAGACCTGAGAAGTTTTGAATAAGCTTGTCAACACTTTATGCATGACATGAGTAGCAAATGTACTTAAGGTCGAACAAGTTTGGTACATCCTTCTAATGAATGATGTTCATCCATTACACTAGCCCTGTTTATGGCAAATCCTATCAATTTTTTTAATCAAGTTGTATTTTGCAAACAATGAAACTATTTTTTTGGATAAATTTTCAACATTGGGTTCTGAAACCCAAGAAATAATCATGCGATTTATAGTTTAATGTAGACCTTAAACATATGACCAAACTCTTTATCAAAGAATGTTATGCTTAACCAGTACAGGATCATTTACTGGGTCTGTCTCCACTCGCAAGTTTATTGAGTTACTCAAAAACATTTCAGCATTGCACCATCTTCAGTGAGGAATTGGCACAATACCGAAAAGTGTTTGAATAACTCAACAAACCAGTGGAGGCAGACCCAGTAAGTGACCCTGTGCCGTTTCAGCCTGAGTTCACCGACACACAGACTAAAACTCATCATCAACCCCAAAGACACGTTGACTCATCTACAATTAATGAAAAAAATCTAATTTTCATTAAGCTCTCATGGCTTTGTAGATCTTCTTCCCCTAGTACACGTTTTACCAAAGCAGTAAATTTTGTTCGGTTGCAGGTTGTCGGTGATGCATTAGGAAGTTCCATATGAGAGCAACCAAATGATTAGCTACATTAAATGTAAAATTGTGTTCAGCATTGATGCCAGTTGTAGTTCATTGTTTCTACCAATTTTTCACTTCTCTGGGACTACTTTACTGTATATTTCAGTATATTTCCAACGAATTTTGAGCTTTTATCAGTTTTGAATTAACTGTAAATAAATATGTGTATTGAAAAAGTGCAAGCAAAATTAACTTTGTTTTTGTGACATTGACCAATGATTCAAGATGGTTAAGTACTGCAACATTACCAAGGCCTTACTACAACATGGCATTATACTAGCTGATCATTATCTTTGATTTTACTCCAAAAGACCAGTTTTTAAATGGTAAATATTTACTTTCTGCTATCAATTTTTTTGAATAGGAGTCAGATTTATTAGATATCTAGGTAAAGTGTCCCTGGTGGGGAAATGGAGAATTATTCACCGGTGAAATATACATTTTAAACAGTATTTATAAATTTATTATCACTGTTCTGCCATTTGAGGGATCACATTTTTCCTGAAAACTCTTTTCTTTATAAAGACTGTGTACGGACCACAAATCACAATGAATTTTTTATGACACTGACCAATGACTGAAGATGTTCAATACTGCAATCACCTCAAAGACCTACAATGTATTACTTCATAAGTCCAATTTTTCTTGTTAAGCAATTCTTACTGCTGTAAGAATGCTTTTTCTCCACTATTATGACATTTATAATCGTTCAAAAATTAACACAATTATATTTTAAACATAGAAATTGGTACAGCTGAATTTTTATTGGTTCATAAGAACAAATTTTCATAGGGGTGACTGATTACTGATTTATATAAACTGAATTGTATGTACAACAAATGTGTACAGAGCTTCTTCTCACTTATGCCTCATGACAGCTAAGCATCATAACAGCCAACATACCAGTTTCTTTCATGGGAGGACATGAAAGAAGTTGGAGGACATGAAGTTTTAACAAACAACAAATAAGAAAAAACCTATTTTTTAACAATAAGGACACACACGCCGGCAATTCCAGTTTTTGCAATTTACAATTATCGGCAGGCCTGGGTATTGGCAGTCTGGCGTCAGACCTCGGTCTTGTACATCTAGCTAACAAGGAGTACTTGATATTCCTCCATTTCCCTCTTACATAGGAGTTAATTTGCATATAACTATGTAGTAAAAATATAATTCTTAATTATTGTCTGGAGCAATACGGAACTCATTTACATGAGAAAATAATTTATGTTACATGAAAATATAGTAATAACATTTAATTAAAACAAAGAGATGTTACCTGCTTTCATTTTAATCCATTAATTATTGTTATTAGAGAAAAATATGCATAAAACAAAAACCACTGTTCTGTGTCAATTGATAATAAGTTAGGGAGAAGTTTCTAAGTTTATAAAGGAGATGGTTAGGGGGCGTCGGTGGCCGCAACAGTTTAGGCGTTGACACCGTGCTCATCACTGTAAGGTAAAGGTCCAGGTTCGAATCCAGCGACCCTGCTGTTGCGAACCCGTTATACTTACAAACACCGGCACCCCGAGGGTTTAAAACAAAAAATGGTTGATGTTTTTTTCTGAAAAAGGCAAACGCGTCTCTTATTTATTATAGTTTTACTTGATACTAGCCCATCAGAAGGAACTTGAAAATCCTCCCTCGGTGATGGTGTTGATAAGAGGATTACTTGGAAGACCTCTCGTTGATTGTACTTTCCCTAGTTCCTTAGTTCAGTTTAATTGATTTGTACTTCTTTTTAAAAAAATTTATGTCCTTATTGTTAAAAAATAGGTTTTTTTTCTTATTTGTTGTTTATTAAAACTTTATATCATGTCCCCCCATGAAAGAAACTCTGGTATGTTGGCTGTTATAATGCTTAGCTGTCGTTAGGCATAAGAAAATTTGAAAAAAAAAACAACATATTTTTGTCTAAATTTTTTTATTAAAGTGCCAAGACCGCGATCTATTTCGTATAACGTGGTGTCGGGGGATGAGAATGTCATTCTGTAAATACGATTCGGCAGTGATCCAAATGAACCATCATTAACCGTTTCTAAGGGGGAACGTCGCCCATGAACTGATAGTTGAGGACTTAATGGTCGTTTTTTTGCATGACAAAGCAGATCCACATATTTCGTTAGTGACACGATGGAAATTGCTACACTTGAGATCGCACCAGAGCTGTAATTCGCTGTCAAATCAAACATATTCGAGCCAAAAAATTGGAATATTGAATTTTTTGATAAATCGCCGAAAAACTTTTTCGAAGTTTCAAGTAGTCTATTAGTTTTAGTACCGATTCAAATTTCAAAATGTAGACTTTTTTGTTATGATGACTTGCGTTGCCTTTCTCTGCTTTTCTGATAATCTATTCATTGTTTGTTAGCTTTTTTATTGGTTTCAAATAGTCAATTAGCTTTATTAGCACAAACAACTCATGAATTTTTGATCTCGTTTAATTTGATTTACATTAAAATAAGCATGTTGTAATTAATATAACGACAAATTACATATGCCTAGCTCGAAATAAACTATAAAAAATATGAGTGTCCGGTTTTGACGCTACTGGACGAAAATGGTGAAATTTTATGAGCAAAACCAAGTAATAAATTGTTAGTTAAATTTTTAGCATTTGGTGCTTTTTTTCTAGTCTATCTTTGTGATCATCGGTCCTAAAGTCCACAAATTTCGTTGGCGACATTGCAAATATCAATGCACCTGGCCATAGGTCTTTCAAATTGACTTGCTGTTATACAAAATTATTATTAAAAGTAAACTTTACTGTTACATCTCATTAATGAAAAGACAAATTGGCACAATGAAATAATTGTAACAATAAAAATGGTGATTAAGTATTAAACCTGCGGCCAAAGATTTTATAGCTTCCAGTCAGGTGGAGGGAGCGAGTACGTGGTGGGGCGTAGGAGTCGGCTGTGGACCGTTGACGGGTTGACCGTGCATAAAGTTTCAGTCGATCACCGTATCACACCAAATCCACTTTAAAAAAAAAGGAAAATGGCCAAAAAACCAGCCGTCGGTATAGATCTCGGTACAACCTACTCCTGCGTCGGAGTCTGGCAGAACGGCAAGGTTGAAATCATCGCCAACGACCAGGGTAACAGGACCACCCCAAGCTATGTCGCCTTCAACGACACCGAACGACTCATCGGAGACGCTGCCAAAAACCAAGTACAACAACAGTTTATAAAAATAAAATTAACCCCGATTAGAAGTTCAAATATTAAAAAAGATAAAAATATATTTAAATTGTAAAATTCCTAATCCTATTAATCCATTTGCAATAAATATTGTCATTTTGAGGTCATTTATCCATTATTATTTATCTATTCTTTACAAAATTTGAGGAAACTTAATTCCACAAGTTTATTTTGCTTAGATAGTTCTAAAATTTTCTGAAATTTCATTTGGAATATGAATTTGGTGAGGACATCAGTCCTTCGTTTTCAAACTCTTCGAATTAAAATTTCACATTTAAAAACGGTATTTTTTCACACACAAAAATTTTCATTGACCTAACAAGATCAAAGATAAGATGGCAAGACGGCAGAGTGAGGCAAGACCTGTAAATAACGAGGAAAAAGGGTGTCAAAAGAAGATAGAAATAGAATGCATATTTTTCAACTTTGAATCAATTGACATTTTGCCTATTTGCAATCCTATGATTTTTTCCTTTTTAATAAATGTGATTTTAACGACTATACGTCCCAAAAATAAATCAAAATTGTTGTTTCTATGTTACACTGCGTCCTGAATTTTTAAGAATGTAAAATGAGGTCAGAGGACATAATTTTTACAATGTTTTTACGCTGTAATATATTTGTTTTATCAACAATAACGAGTTAATTATCAACTTGTCAATAAACCAACGCCCCCGAGGACCAAGCCTTTGTTGCATTTAATTAATTTATTTCATGCTCAGAGGGCCGTGTGATTCAAAAGATCCTTTGAAAATATGTTTGTGTTTTCTTAGCCTATTCGATGATAAAATGACACCAGATGTCAATATGTTTGTTATCTTTGACGGATTTAACGTCAGACAAGCTTGAATTATTACACAGAACGTAAATTGTAAATCCGACCCAGCACTGATGACAGCTTTTGTCGAAATTCATCTCTTTCCCAGTCTATTTCAAAGTTAAACCATTTTCAGAATATCTTCCAGTAAAGATATTAAATATTAATGTATTAATAATTGAATTCAAAAATATTTTCTTGTTTAGAGAATATCTTATCCTAAAGAATGAATGTTCTTATGTGAGATGAAAGTTCAAAACTAATTAAAACTGTATCGATTTGGTTGTAATCCTTTGTACTATGGACTCATTATTCCTTAACCAGTTCTCACTATGTTCACGTTCTACAAAAACTTTTCAAATTAATTTCACCTTATTGTATTACAATATTATCAGAGATGCATTTAATTCCTTCTGATTAAGTTAAACGTTTATTGTTTTGTTTTCAATCTGCTATTTTTAAATAAAATCAGTGAGTCAATTGCGAGACCTTTACTGGGTCATGTTATCAGCAGTAATATTATTATAGAAGCTTTGCTTTATTTATCTCTATCATTTTTATGTTTACTCTTTATTCTCCATTTTTCTTTTTTTTTTCTTACATCTTAATATGTATTTATATATTGCTCTCTTAGCCTTAACTTCGAATGTCTTTCACACGGGGTAATTGTCTATTAAGTCTACATCTTATTTTTCTTTTCTTTCCATTTTGTCATTTCTTCTCTCCCTCTTCCTCTCTATCTTTTCTTCTTATCTATTTATTTTTGTCTGTATATACAGATCTCTTTTTCTCCCTTCTTTATCATATTCCTTTTCATTAAATATCTTTTGCTTTCACAATCGCCTTTCTGTACGTCTCTTTCTCCCTCTCCCTGTCATACAGCTAAAACTGACTACATACCTTGTATGCCCTGGCATCAGGCCTGGAAAAAAAGTCGCTTGTTACATAATAAGTCTCTAAAAAATGTAATCTTGACGTGCAGTCACAAAGCCCCTGTGACACATGATTTATATTTTCTTCGCTTTAGAACTGTCAGCGAGTCTCAACGATCGCCAAATCCAAGCCGGCAGGTTTAAGTAAATTTATCGTTCACATGGCAGAAATCAGTTAAAAAGACGTAGGAGTAACGTGTTCGATAAGCGCTTATAATTTTACTGGTTTTGTTCCAAATACCTTCACCATGGCACGGACGGTAGATAGAAACCAGGATTTTCGTTAATTTTAGATGCCGAGCGAAAACGGCCGAACCGGCTCTTTAACGAGTCCTAAGTGATTATAAATTCAACGCTGTTACTTGTAACCACAGCATATTTATTTTGACCTAGTTTACATTTGAAAATCGTTAAATAATTATTAATAACGGCAGATAAATAAATCTTATAATTTTCTTGATGATTTGTAAGAATCATTACTTATCAACTTGGAAAGTCTAATAGAATAACTTGAAACTTAGAAATAAAATTGATAATGTGCAAAACAGCTTTTGTCACAATTTTCCATCCATCACCTTCTATTTAATCGAAATGAAGGTATGCAGTGCCAGGCAAGAAGTTCGATCCGTTCATGTCATGCAAACATTATTCATAGAAATAAGGTTTTACAGTAAAGAAAAAATGAATTTTTAGATCGAACCTGTAGTACAAATAAGCTAAACGACATAAGATTATAGCCACCTATGAAAAGACAGTTTCTTTAATAATCACACAAATTTAACGTCTGTACGATAATAAATTTTAAAACATTAACGGAAAATATTAATCAATTTTTTCATCATATTCTAGTATAAATATATATTGAGTTGTGTTAAGTTTACAGTTTATCATAAATATATTATTGATTATGGTTTTCCCCTTTAGGTATTAAAAAATTAAACGCCCTTGCTTTTAAGCAGGGCAATGACAAGTGACATTTATCCGTGGCGAACAACCTTTGGTCTTGCAGGATTCGGTCCATAATAGGCAAGGGCTTTGGCATAAAAGCCCCAGCAAACCTTGACCCATCGGAATCAGGAGTTCTCTATTTCAAATGCAATCCCGCTCACCATTCGCTCGATATCCGACCAAATGAAGTCTAAAATATAAATTTGTATTTCACACAGAACCTAAAATAAATTTAAAATCCGCTCAATTGAAACATGAATCTTTAAAGTATTGAAAGTTTACAAAACTAACTGTACAAAACGATGATTTACATTGAAATAGTACTTTATTTTTACCGACACATCTTAAGAACCATAGTTAAAATTTTAAATGCAATTGTTGCGATAAAAATTTTAAAACTGAATTTATCGTAACTAATTGTCTTGTTAAGAAATATAAAAAAATTGAAAAGGCTGAAATGATATAAGTTGAAATCTTGTTTCTTGTCTGCTAGTATGCCATGTGGATTGGGACATCGTTAGTACCAAATTTGGGCCTCGACGAAATGAGGGGCGAAACTGTCTTGACGGAGCTGTGGGCGATAAATGTTTTACTTGGTAATGGTTTTGTTTATTATCCGTCTCAAAGTGGCCTTTCATTTCATTTAATATCAGATGAACCACATGATCAACTCACAAAATACACTGATTTTTTACTGCAGTTTAAAACGTAAATGTTGTTTTCGTTTACTCGAATGTTTGGTTTGATTGGTTAATCAGTAAGTTTTATTTTTATTGTATTTGTTGTATTCTACATTTTTAAAAATTACTATTCAGTTACTTCATTGAGCTTACTAGGAATATACCCTCTTCACCAGGATAATTAATAAATACACTAATTTCGTGGTCCGCTTGACCAATCAATATATTATAATTAATTATGGTTTTTAGTTGAGATAAAAAAATGCCAAAAAGGAGGGAAAATTCAAAAGGTGGGGTTGAGATGGGAACTTAGTGTCCGAGTGGATTGAGGTCACGATAGCTCAAGTGGTAGAGCAGCGGCGTATCAAGCCGAAGATCGTGGGTTCGAATCCCGCTCATGCCATTGACTTTTTTATCTCAACTAAAAACCTTAATTAATTTTAATTAATAATTTAAACGTTATTACAAATATGAAATGACCATTCATTAACCAAGTCAAAAATTTTGTAGCTTCAAATTAAATAAGTTTCAATTAAATATTGAATATTGGGTACTCTCAACCCGACACGCAATAAAGGCATAATTACACAGAAGACAAATACTTTGAGCCCTGAAGATGATCTCAATAAAGATAGAAACGTTGGCACGATAAAGAAAATGTTTTTCTGAAACCTACGTCACACCAGACCATCTCACGATATCCGAATAAATATCGACTAACGGTCACTAATCACCGCACATTAAATATTGAGATAATTTTTTTTTTATTTCTTGACTTTTACAACTAATCGCTTTCCCTAGGAATGGTATGGAAGTTAAGTAATCGCTCGAGGAATACTTTTAAAAAAAAGAAGAAACTTTATTGTCCAAACTGTACAATGTTTAATTTTAAACCGATAGAGTGACGGGCAGAAGGCTATCGTAAGAGTAAGGCAAGGATATTTGAGGATTAGGGTTTTTATACTATGTAGTTTAAAGAAATGCTGATTAAGATGATGGGCGGCCGACTGGACCCGCCAGACTTTGCTGACGTGTTGGTCTGAGGGGCGTTTGGTTATTCCATAACTCCTCCGTCCCTAAGTTCGAAGCTCCTGCTAGAAAAAAACAGACGCAGGTGTCGGCCGAGACGCAACTTCTTGATGAGGATCTTCTTTATGGAGACAGCGCAAATAAACTAACATGAACAATATTGACAGAATGCCCACACAAATTATAACATAAACATAAATTGTTGAAAATGTCGAGGGAACATCTTCCAATATTTCCAATGGTTGCATTTTTACATTTAGCTTACGTAAATCTTCAAAAGATATATTAGCTTTCGCCACTCTAAATACGTCGGTTTGTGTATTATATATACCAATATATAACTTTTAATTCTTTAAATATTGGTACAATTTTTTTATTTAACAATACTTCATTTTTATCTATTTTAATTAAACTAGTATTATATATAAATATTGTATTATTAACATTATTTCTTTTAATTACAATTGTTTTGGTTTTAAAAGCTAAATCTATGTCTATGAATGGTATTTAATAAATGATGTGCTCGATGTATAGACATATATTCAATCAATAAGATTTTCATTTG